GCACGTTTAAATAATTGTAGTTAAATGAGAATTCTGGTTCATTGATAGTAAAATACATAAAGATTTTTGATTTAAAATGTACAATTCAATATGAATAAAGTATAAGTAATGATTGTGGAAGAAATGCATGAAATGTATTTGTAACCAATCGACACGCTTTCTACAAGATGTAATGAAGGATGATTCTTTTTTGTGTTTTTATTCAATTAAAACAATAAAAAAACTTTTCAAAAAAAAGAATAAGAATTGGAAGGGACCTTGGACAGCTGCCAGTGGGCCTCACATACAGCCTAAAGGCTACCATGCAAGGACAAATCATGCATTGGGAAGATTGCTTGGAGTTGGGAGATACTTCTAATGTAATCTACTGGATCCCCTGTGTGGATTGCCCTTGTGACTGTAGGACAAACAGGGAGGAAGCTAATAACCAGACTGCAGGAACACAAGCGAGTGGTCAGACGAGGAGACCTGAACTCATTGGTAGCCTCACATTGTGATGAACACACATTCAATTTCACAGCTACTAAGATTGTTGGCCAAGCAGGTACAAAGACAGCCAGGGAAATGATTGACGCCTGGGAAACCAGGCCCCTTGTCAGTCAACAGGAGTGCTGATTTATCACCAGCTTATCAGGTACTTAGAAGGGGAGCACTTGGCAGCACAGAAAACAACAGCCGAGGACTTAATAGCCGGCCATCAACACTCCAATCAACCAAGAAGCCACACCCAACCAGGCACCACATAAAGAGGACACATAGACTAGCCCACCACACACATTGGGGTAGAGAGAGGTTCCCCAGGATGGGCTCCAGCACCAGTCTAAACCACCCATCTGGTCCCAGTGACTGACCCAGATTGGATTCTGCAACAGTCTGCAATCCCAGACAAAAAGTCCAATTCTGTTCTGCCCTGGCCAAACTCTGCTGCTTGTCCTGTGTCCATATTTAAATACCATCTTTTAGGAAAGGTTTAAGAAAGGGGGAACAAGAGGCGAGAGGTTCGATCCAGAATTCTATGGAGATTTGAAACCAAGCCCCATAAACCAATGACACCATTGGAAAGAGGGGGGGGGGCAGCTCCCGGATGGTCCCTGACTGCAGAACACAAATGGAAGTCCAACATGGTAAGAAGGTGGCGCCCAAATGAATATGGTGGAAAGAGCTCTTGAAGTGGAACCATTCTACCAAGATTGGGGCCACCACACTCCAGACGGAGCTCCCGACCAAGGTGGAGCAGTGACGTGCAGTCAGGGGAGGCAGAGCCTCACCACTGTCATCATGAAAAGAAAAAAAATGTAAAAGGAAAAAGGC